TAAACGGAATGTACCGTAGTACACTAATTTTAATTTAGAAATTTGATCGTTACATTAATCCACCTAATATTAATAATGGAACAAGATTTGTAGTACAGAAAGTGGTGATCAATATATATTAGTTAAAGCACGATAAAGCTAAAAGTATGGCTCATAAGAATGCCTTAATGTAAACAAAGAAAATAGTTTGTCTCCTTTAAATTATGCTGGACTGAATATTTGTATTACTGTTTTATATTTTTATTTGTTTACCCCGAACGACGTCGGGTGCTCTGCTAGTTCTCATATAAAAATTTAATATTATCGTTAATTTCTTCGTGATCCAATGATCGGATTTAAACCAAATTAGTATGGGACCACCAGTGAGGTAAAACCTTTCCTTAAAAAAAAATTATAGAAATTGGTTAACGTGGTCCAAAGTTATGCAGTAACATACATACAAAAAAATAATATTCCGACGAATTGATAACCTTCTCCTTTTTCTGAAGTCAGTTAAAAACTAATATTTCTTTTTGAAATTTTCGAAACTAGCACAAGCAAGTATTTTTTTGTTCTCAGGATATAATATGAGGTCATCAATGAGGATTCAATGTTATTCAAAAATGTGAACGCAAAAAAAAGAGAAAATCGGGTTTCTTGAGGAAAAATTTGTGGAAATTACAAAGTGTCCAAAAGAGCAAATTCCCTTACTTTGAGATAGTTTAAGACCGTTTATGAAGTGGGAAGTTAGAAGGAGGAAGGTTTTTCGGAAGAACATTGTAATGCATGGCGGTTTAGTTATAGATAACGCAACTCCCGATCGAGCAGCTATCAGAGAAAACATGAAGCAATCACCGGCAATATAGAGACATTTTTGCACGAAAATTTCCAAGAAGGGATTACAACAAAGATGTGATTAATCGTTTATTTTTATCCTCTGATATATTGATAAGCTTAAGCAAAAATATTTGTAAAAATAACGCAGCCAACAAAAATGAAAAAAATATGGTGCGGAAAATGCTAAAACTGTTTTTGATAGACTTTTTGGTGCGGATTAGAATCCTCAAGTATAAAGTTTCCATCAGCTCCAGATCTTGAAAGAAACGAGGTCAAAGTGTCAAAAAATACATTTTTTGCAATATTTGGGAAACTATATCAAAGAAAGGAAAGATGATAGAACCTTTCACTTAGGCTTAAATTAAGGCTTGAACTTTGGACTAGAATCCCTAAAAATATCATCCCTACACCTTGACCCCACGGACACTTATAGTCATTTATTAATAAAAAAAAAATTGTGCAATTGGAAAAAAAATTGCCAAAATCAGTTTTTGCTATTCAATAAATGACTATAAGTGTCCTTGGGGTAAGGGTGCAGGGATGGTATTTTCAGGGATTACAGTCCAAAGTTCAAGCCTTAATTTAAGCCAGATGCGATGAATCTGCTTAAAGCGCCACACGCTGAATTACTTAATGAAATTGGTAGGACAAACTAGTATCGCTACTGACCCCAGGTTTTTTTCTTAAACTATGTACATTTCTTTTATGAACTTCAGATTTCATCGTATTATAAAATAGTCCCCTGAACTGTTTTTACTTCTATGTTCCCTTATTAATATAAAGAACTTTTATTTTTCTGCTTGAGCTACTCTCTTAGTAGCCCAACAGAATTTAGGGTTGTGGTTTTTAAAGTCTTCGATCCACAAAAATATCTGAAGTTAGGGACACTTATTTTCATACAAAACTATAAACTTAAATGTAGAAAATAGGTTGCTATATGTTTAAAAATTAAAAATATCTTTTTTGAAAAGAGAACAGAGTTTCAACGAAATAAAAACAATATTATGAAAAACAAACTTTACTGTTTTTATGTGCGCGTTGGAAAAACGTAAAAATGTGCTTAATACTTGGAAGCTCATGTATGGTTAACAAAACATAAAAATACATTCATTTAGGGCCAAATTCAGTACAAAAATCTGTAGTTAACTACCGATTCTGAGTTAAATACGCACTGTGAATTTGGCCCTTATAGAAATTATTCTCTCGGAAATATTATTAAAACGGATATTGTAACATAACTTTAAAATTTTAACTGGGTGGCAACCCAAAAATATGTATGGATTGAAACACGTCAGATTACCTATCATTTGACACGGATATTGTCATATTTTTTATAATTTTACGGAAAGTGAATCTTATCCATTTCTTGTGACCATAGTTTAGCTTCAAATGTGCCCCTTCTAAAGTAGATTACTATGTTTAAATTTGAGAATAATCCGCCATGGTTCGCAGGAGATACGAATTTTGTCGTGCTAGATGTGAGCTCTGAACCACTGTGCGGCGTAATGATTGCCGTCTTTTCTATATCTTGATCTAGCTTTTAGTAAAACTTGCGGCCATGAAGGGAATGTACATAATCCGTTATAAAGGGGTATTTTTATTCAAAAATCAGTAGTCACCATATGGTATCCAACCACCGTTTGCTTTAGGTACCATATGAAAGGGATTGGAGCAGCGGTTTTTTGCTGCACAAATAATTTGATTGCCCAACATAAATTTAAATTCATTTTTGGCAATGGCTAAATATATTGAATAGAATGGCCTTACTTTTACTAGGACTGGAGAGCCTGAAGTCTCATACTGATGAAAGACGGCATTCTTCTTGCTGGATATTGAGAGTGCCACATTGTGAATCTTGGGAAATTCTGCAAGCAATTTATGATACACACTGTTGTCCTTTAAGATTGTTGCAATACCAAACGATGGCTCCTTGGCTTGGAAGTTGAATACCACTTTCTTAAATTTTTTGTAGGACGGGTATATCCATGGGAATTACCGAGATATCAGCTGTTGTTTTGTCGTAAATGAATAGCTCGGATTGCTGCTCCGACTTTCAGATCGGTGTCGTTATTGGGACACTTAACGCTGATTGATTGCTAACCTGCATTCTAAAGCTGATTCTCCTGATGTACTGTCTAAACTAGAGATATGTGCAGGACGATCTATGTCCATTATTTTGCCTGCTTGTTCCGCAAGCTTGTTAATATCTTACTGTTCACTGATGCTGAGAATCATGCTAACATTTTCAGGCAGTTGGTCACCCACAACTTGACCACCAAAAAGTCGCATGAGCTTGCGTTCAGAGAATTCGCTGAATACGGAAATGATAAGCGATTTCAGCGTTTCGTACTTAATCCCACTGGGTGGAGGTAGGGATGTTCCGATATAAGTAAATACGAGTATGTACTCGATACTTTTGTTTCAATAACAACTACTTTTTTTACTTGAATCGTTTCATCGATACCTACTTAGTATTGAAATAAAAGTACTTGTATCGAATCGATTTGAGGAAGTGCCATATCTTTCGGTCATATATTTTCTATGGAATTGCTTCGCTTTTATGAAAAATAATTGATCTAAGCAATGGCACCGCCAAAATCTAAAGAGGGGATATATTTTTACAAAGTTCAAGCAATGCCTTGTAGCCGTAACGTTTTGTGGGAACCTTTCAAAGGTTTAATTTTTTGTCTAAGTAATCGTATTACTTCTAATGTTACTAATGATCAAATAAACATACCGATACCTCAACTGAAAATATATTGAAAATATTTGAGATAGGGCGCTTTGAATCGGCAGCTGAGATATGGCGTTTTTGTACCGAGTTCTGAAAGAGGGTGGTCTTGAAAAGTTTTCTGATATAAGGCGTTTTTCAATCAAATTCTGGAATAGGGTGCTTTTGAAAAGTTTTATCAGATAGGGTGCTTTCAATCTGGCTGCCGAGATAGGTCGATCTACCACTCAGGTGTCGCAAAAGGTATGTCACAGATAACGCCTGAAAATTACTTTCGCTTTGTTGCATATAAAAGGATGAAAAATTATCGATATAAGTAGGTATCGATACATTCGGTTCACTCATATAAGTAGTATCGAAATAGGGATTTGAGTAAACTCATTTGAGTAGGTATCGATACTTTGATGGTATCGGAACGTCCCTAGGTGGAGGTTCCAAAACATCCCTCCCTAAATCTAATGTACTAGGATCGATATTTGCGAAGAGATGTCTGAACTTTGTCTCATCGGCAGTTAGGCGTTGCAGGAAGAAAATCATTTTAACCTGGAAAAATCACACTGCTATGTTTTAGGTCCATAATGGTGGGAATTTTCTGCACAGTCGACGCATGAATCCATTAAGCCATCTACGGATTACACCGTTTGCCTTAGTGATGCAAGTCAAAAAAATACATCATGCTTTTTCGATCTGATATAAAAACCGATATTTTCGATGTATCGAATGAATTAAAAATATACAAGAAAATGGAACAATCGCAACTTCGATAAATTTTTAAGTATTAACTCACAGTGAAATGTATTAATTGATTTATCCCAGTTATACAAATAAATTCATAAAAAATAAATATGATTTCAGGTGCTTTATAATCTAAAAACTGTATCTAATGCTTGGTTTTCATGATGTCAACAGCTGTTAGTTCATTTAGTGTCAAATCACTGTGCATGTCAAAGACTGTCGTCAAATTTTGGTGTCAGGAGATTGACATTCCGTTTATAATACTGAAATCAAATATGTAGTGAAATTTTTGGCATTAGTCAAGAATACCAGCCGTTAACTATGGACAAACCAAAAATGTGGCTCGGTGGCTCTTTATGCCCTAGTATTTTGTTCCTTGTTTACTTAAAGATCTCGCTTTAAAAAGCAAAACATTCATATAAATGTATAAAATACTTCTTATTTTTTTATTTTTGGTTGTGAAGTTAAGAAGAGTGATACGGATAATTAATCTCAGTAATGTAAGTTCAATTCAATCTCTTTTTCGATTTGAGTTATCATTCTTACAAACTATTAAATTTTCAATAAACCAATTTTTGAAAAGTCGAATTAAATCGAATTTGCACCACCAAATTTCGAATCGAATAATCGAATGATTGGGTAATGTTCGAAATCCGGAACAAATCGAATTTGAACCTCCAGTACCCATCCCTAATTTGTATATTACGCAAAATCTTACCTTAAATGCTCGCGTAAAGCGCACTATTAGCGCGAAGAATGCTGCTGCATCGGCGTTACGCGATGATTCCCCGAAATACTCAACGCATTCTTTGAATGCATCCTGTGCATTCTTCAATTCCATTTTGATCTTCTTCAACTTATCCTCGGAGTTATTGAGGAAATCTCGCAGGATATGAGTTTGTGCACCTTTCACTCGTTGTTCTGCCTCCTTCTTCACCAATTCCATGCCCTTTTCAAGGTCATGTACGTCCGTTACAATATTTTCAAGCGATACCTGCGATGCTTTGTCTGTGCAATACAGCTCTGTATCGAAATTGAGCAGCTCAGGGAACTTTTGCCTTATGGTTGCCACGATGTAGTGCAACAGTGACGTGCGTTTGTCAGTTGACTTGGTGTCGATTAGCGTATCGAGTGACTGCAATTTAAATCCATATGCGGGGCCACGTTTGCTACTGTTGAGGTAATTTCCGAAAGCTAGAACGATTTCTAGAACGGCTTTAAACTTTTGGGATTTTTTCAGGGAATTGGAAGCGGTTGTGATGGCTAGTATTTGCTGAAAGAAAAGAAATATTATTACTGCATTTTTAGGGGAATTAAATTTGGACTAACTGGACTGATCAAGTGCAGACAGTCGAAGAAATTGCCCATATAATTCATAATAGAGAGCTTAGATGAAATGCGCTCCACACGGGACAATTGCAACATGAATTTATCCTCTTCGGTGAGTTGGTTTTGATCTTTACGCTCGGCAATGTATTCCTTGTAGGATTTCACCTCTACATCCGTGGGCACCATTTTTTGCAATAACTCCACATTTTCCAGAGAAAGTTTCTTCAAATCTAAGCTATGTATGGCAGCAATAACCTCATCGATAGGCATATCCAATTTACGACGAGATATTGCTAAGAGTGTAGTTAATTCAATATAATATATATTAACTTCTTTACTATTTAATTATTTTGAAAAATGTATATAATACCAATATTTCGTAATCTCGTGTGCTCCAAAAGCGATACATTGTCTGGCTTCTTGAAGCGTTTGCTAGGATAGGAGTGGAGGCCGTCCACTTCTGAGTTGTTGCCATTTGTCAAGCCGCCGCCGATACCAATTTTAAACCGCTCCTCAAATTCAATGAAATCAATGTGTTTGAATATCTTTTCATCGTCCAATTCGTTGAAAATAGTATCACGAACCTATTAAAAAACGAAAATTCACTTTCAAGTTTTGAGTTTGAAGTCAATAATGCCTCACCTGATTTGGCTTTAAAGCTATCCAGTTAAGCGTGGGCAGTTTATATTTCGTCGGTACTTTGCGCTTGATTGTCATGGCACCGTCTGGAGCGGGCATGAAACCGGCCACAGGTGGAGGGGGCGGTTGGAACGCACACATCATAGGCCCTCCGTTGGGACCAGAACCATATGGTGGTGAGCGAGAACCTACCGAACCACCATTTGCGGACATTGTTGGCGAAAGCGGACCACCATTGCTTAAGGAACCGCCAGGCGCAAGAGGCGGTGGTGGTGGCGCGGGCGGTGCGGGCGGAGGTGGTGGCGGAGGCGCCGCGCTGGCAGGCGACATAGCAGATGGAAGTGGAGGCGGCGGGGGAGGCAGTGGAGGAGAAACGCACTTGTCCGGAGAGGTTCCGCCATTTTGTAGAGACGTTTCACTATTCGAACCCGAGCGCGGTAACGACCGCGTCAATGTTTGTAACTCGAGATTCTTGCTTTGTAGCAGCGATTCACGCTTCTTAAGCTCCTGTTCGTTCTGCTTCAGTATGCGCCGCAATGTCGTGACCTCTTCGTCAAACTTCAGTTTAGTGGTCAATAAGTCCTCACGCTCTGCTTTCAGCACCGCCACCTCAGTTTCGAGTTCGGCGAGCTTATACATGAATTCTGAGTTGCGATCCACCTCCCTCTCTAATTGGTCCTCCAGCTCCTGCACTCGTTCTAAAGCTGCAGTCTTCGTCTCAGAATCTTCCATTAGGCCCGCCACGTCGAACACATTGTCTAAATAAGCGGATATCTGCACTTTTAGCTCCTCCGATTCAGTCATGCGTAGCTTCTCCAGATATTTGTCCAGTCCGAGAGCCGTGAATTCGTATTGCAGATGCACGCGATAGTTCATGTCCTCAACGGAGTGAACTACAATGTTCATGAACTGCATACACGCTACCATAAAGTCAATGTTGAAGGCCTCAAAGTTCATGAAGTATTCCATTAGTGTTTGAAATCGACGCTTCTCCTGGCACACATCCTTAAAGTTGTCGAACGAGGACAATATTATCTCGTGACCCCCCTTCACCAAACAAATGGCAGCCAACAGCTCTAGCACCAAAGCTTTCGTACGCAGCGACTTGTGTATCAGACTTAACGCTATGCAATTGATAGCTTCTCGGTGTTGGATGACCATATTGAAGCCGTATTTGTTGTTCATTATGGCCCGCAAGCACATGATGCACACGTGTATGTCATCAGTGGATGCACCCATATTCAATTTGGCTATATGTCTGGATCGTCGTTTAATGCTGGGACTGTCAAGTACCTCGGCCAGCGAGGGACGTAAAAAACCATTTAAACTACCGCCAGAGTGGCCCGAGTGAGAATATGGGTGGTGCCGGGCACCATCTAAATTAATGCTACCACTGAGAGGAGAACTTACTCCCACCGATGAACTACCCAGCCCATCGGCGGAGCCTGAACCGTTGCCTCCGCCCACTGTCTGGCTGCTTGTCATATTCAGGCGCTCATCTGAGTCAGATAGCGCTTCTTCAACCCGCTGTTCGTGGCGCATCATCTGCAGGCGAAAACTTAGGTAATCCACAAGAGCGTCCAGACCCTGGTTCGTGTCGTCGAGAAACTCCTTAACCCATTCAATGTGATTGGTGCGCAGCGAGATCTCGAGATCACGCAGCACCTGCGTCGACGTGGACTCCCCGACCATTTTACGTTTCTGACAAAGAAAGTAGAGGAAGAATAGCTGTAAGTGTACAAAATTGTCCCGGGCAGGAAGATGGGTGGGAGCAAGGCAATCGGTGAGGATAGGATAGGAGAGTGTGCATTTGGATATTAGTCGTGATCAAAATTTCAGATCAAGTTTATTTATGGATTCAAATGATTACGTCAGGATTTTCAGGATTTCAGGATAACAATGGTGCATTCAGTTTTGGGACAGGTGAGGTGAGGTGTGCACAAAGGTGAACCGAAAAACAAAACAAATTCGCATATTACATGTGCATGTGGTTGATTAAGTAAGAGATGAGTGTAGAGTGTTGTTAAATTGTGTACGAAAAGAAATTCACAAAGTCCACGTTTGAAGAAGCATGAAACGAAATCATAAACAAAGTAAAAACAAGGTAACGTATAAGTGTGTGAGTGTGTGAGTAGAGAAACGAAAATTTTGCATTAATTTTCAGTATTTGTAAGAGAAATTTAATTTTACTACATACAGAAATTAAAGGATTCGTTCAAGCCGCAAAAGTATGGATAGTAGCAGGTTAGTCGATTGGAGCCCAAAGCCAATACGCTCCTAACACATATTAATGTCAAAAGCAAAGCGACTAAAGAGCTTTAGCCTGTAGACTTTAGAGGATATTTTAATATTCAGTTACTTTTATAATGGCTTTTAGTTAGGTACACCCATTGTTAAGACTTTAGACAGTCGGAATCTTCAGAAAAGCTTTTCACTGATTACTGATTTACACCTTAATTTATAAATATTTGATTTTTAGTGCATTTAATTTAAGGGTCTCGAAATTGGTAAACTAACTTATTTTGTGTGGTGTTTAATTCTTTTTCAATACTGTAAGGCGAGGGGAATGGACTCGCCGTCATTTTCAAAACAAGGTCGTCAATATACCCCATTAATAATATTTCTACCTTCTCGCCAAACTCCAGAAGGACAATGCTCCATCACATCAGAACTTTTTTATAGATGGTTAAAGTTTCTTTTATTGGAAGAAAACTCCTCTATTAATCTTTATGAGAGTGAAAAGTAGCTTAGTACCTTTTTTCAATTTTACAGCAGAGGAAACAAACTTCATATAGCCATTTTCTTCAAGTATTTGGCAAAACTTTGAATACAAACATTTTGCATATTTAAAGGAAGATAAAACTAAAAAAGATTTTTGGCCTTACCGAATTTTTTTGTCTCTTTTGGACCTTGGAAAAATTTGCCTTTCATTGAATTTAAACGGAAAGAAATAAAAAAGTAGCTTAATTCTTTTTGGAGACGATGCTTTTTTAATTTATATTGCTTCCAATATGAAAATACGATGATTATCAACATTTCACTCTAAGCTAGCGATATGTACTTACTTTTACATTTTTATGGAGCATTTTAGTTCTCTAATTCCCAGTTTACAAAATTTGCTCAAAGAAGCCCCGTTCTATTAAAACTTGATGGGTTATAATGTTCTATGAAAAAGATAGTTACTAAATTCTACCACGACTCAAAAAAAAAAATTAGTCGTTTTTAGAAATAAAAAAGTAACTTAAATCTTATTAAAGACAATGCTTTTTTTAATTTATATTGCTTCCTATAAATACGAGGCTTAGCAACATTTCAGCATTTTAGTTCTCTAATTCCCACTTACAAAATTTGCTCAACGAAGCCCCGTTCTAGTAAAAATTAATGGGTTATAATGTTCTATGAAAAAGATTGTTACTAAATTCTACCACGACTCAAAAAACAAAAATTAGTCGTTTTACGCATGTTTCAAAATTGGATTTTTAATGAAGATGTAAGACTTTGACTCCATATAAAAAATACCACAGCCACCCAAAAATAGTGTGGGGGTTCGGGGGTTCATTTTCCTATATATTTTTATGCGCTGAACACAAATCTGAAGTCTGTTTTACTCTACCACGTCAGAATATTTTCCTAACAGCAAAAAATTGTCTGTCACATAATATACGCAATGGTTTTTGAGGTTAGGAAAAATTCCCAGCGTGATGGAGCAAAACGGCCTTCATATTTGTGTTCAGCGCATCAAAATAATAATGGTAGTGCGATGAAAAAATTCGTCTGGAATATAACTACCACGTAGGTTGACGCAAACACGATCTACCTTATGGGATTCGCGTACGTTTACGCTACGTCGTCGACTGTCTGCGCTTTTACTCGCACATAGGCTAAAACATACAGGCAGGTTCTGTAATTCACTTCCGAGTGAATTTGAGTCGAATTCGCGTTGAGCTCAAATTGGCAAGGGTTTAAATTCACTCGGAAGTGAATTGCAGAACCTGCCTTATACTCGTAGTTTGATTTTGGAAAAAAAGCCCGAGGGCCACAAATTAAGTTTTACATTCTCTGCGACTAGCCTTACAGTATTCAAATTTTCGTAATTCGACGAATATACCTACATATGTTATTTTTCTAATGTTTTCGACTCCAGTATTCGAAGTAAGAATAATAACTTTTGCTTGGTTCATTTTGAGCTTGTTTCGCTTCATCCGAAAAAAAGTGATACAGACCTTTTAAGTTTACCTTGTATGTATATGTATACTAGGCGACAAATGAAAGTTCTAATATAAGGTGCCATCCCGTATTTAATTTAATTTTAATTTAATTTAATATTATATTGAAAACATTAGTGCATTAAGATGTAATCTTTACTTGCACAATGATACAAACAAATTGCAAGAAATAAAATAAAAAGTACAGATAATAATTAATATTACAATATAGATTAAGGTAATGTGAACGTTGAATTACAAATCATATATTCTAAAATAAAACAAAGGTAAGCTTATAACCACTATTCTTGATCACGCTTGGAAGAAAAAAAGTTAAATATGAGTTTTTTGAAGTTGCCTATGTGCAACGCGTTCTTCAAGGACAGTGGAAGGGAGTTCCAGAGCCTTACCGCATTAATAAAAAACAGTCTTGAAGTGCATAAATAGTTAAATCTCGGAAGAATAAGACCTGACGAACGTGTACTCTTGGAGAACTTAAGTTTATTGTACAGATATTCCGGGCTCTTCGTGATAAATAATTTGAACATAAAAATGCAATTACGCGCGTTCAGTAAATTTTGTAAATCACAGCCAAGTATAGAATTACGCATAGATGAGAGATGATCGTATTTCTTTAAACCAAATACATACCTTGTGGCAGAGTTAATGGCGATATTCAATTTTTGGAGTGAATGAGAGTCTAATTTGCCGTAGACGATTTCAAAGTACGTGATATAAGGAACAATTAAACTTGTAATTAACTTTTTCTTAGTGGCTACCGGTACATAAGGTGAAGTTACTCTAAGACATCGTAGAGTAAAAAATATTTTACTCACAACTTCATTAACATGATCATCACACGCAAGTCTAGAGTTAATAACGAAACCCAAATTCCTGGCTTTGTCAACTAATTTAAGCTGGTTGGCACCTATAAATAAGCTAGGAATATCCGATGCCAAAAATTTATCTTTAGCGACAGGTATTACACAAGATTTTTGAGCATTGAGGCAAAGTAAATTCTCCCTAGACCATGCAAATATTGAGCTTAAGTCCTCGTTAAGTTGTAGACAAATATCCTGAATCGATCCAATTTTATTAGAAACATACAGCTGCACATCGTATTCCTCGGACTAAAACTAGTAACACTGTCAAAAAATAATAATTCGCTCAGAGCGAGAGAGCAACATAAAGTACGGGATCGCTTTCTAGTAAAAAATGGTAACTTCTGTCAACATCAACATAACCTCTAAATTTTGGTTGCACATTTTTGCTTATTTTGTATGCAAACACACTCAGGTCACACATGTAACTAACCAAATATAATTTCAAATTCATTAGAATCCACTTAAACAAGTAATTAAATACTTTTCGACACGAATTAGCAGAGTGCACTTTGTTCTTGTTTAGAATTTGGTTGCCAAACACACCACAGCGGATCGTTTGACACATTTACCAGAATTTACCAGCAAAAAATCTTCGGATTAAAACTGGTAACTTCTGACAGAGAGAGGACCTTATTTACTCTCTTTCTTTTCCTCTCAATAGTCAGAGAACCCAGTACGTGATCGATTTCCAGTCAAATCTGACTTATTCTGACTAGTCCGGACTCGTTCGGGATCGCAACTATAATATTTCTAATTATTTTCATGAAAAATTGTTTGTATTCTTTATTTATGAAAATATAAACCATATAAATCAAAGTTTCATACTTTATATAAAGTTCACAAAAATTCAACTTTTTATTCAGAATTTGTAGAAAGTTTTCGAGTATGCAGTTTTGTAGCCAATTTGAGTCGAATGAAGTGCAAGTTTCAACCGGCTAAAAAATCGCGTTGATTTTTGAGATTTTTGTTTTGTGACTGCTTTTGCGATTTTTAGATGCAAAGTGCAGTTTACAAAAACAGGCGTTGATGTTATGAAAGTTTCATACTTATACGAAAAATAGTGCGAAAATCCGTCTCCAGAAAAAAAATCTCAAAAATCAAAGCGATTTTGTAGCCGGTTGAAACTTGCACTTCATCAGACTAAAATTGAATGGACTACAAAACTGCATAAAAATTTTCTAGAAATTTTGAATAAAAAGTTGAAAACTTGGAATTTTTGTGAACTTTATATAAAGTGTGAAACTTTGATTTATATGGTTTATATTAGAGAATAAAATATATTTTCATAAATAAGTAATGCAAACAAATTTTCAAGAAAATAATTATGAATCTTATAAGAGAACAAGGTGTACGCTGTTTAGCTGAGGGAGAGTGGGAGGCCAGGTTTATAGTAGTGATCGAGTTAGAGGAGTAGAGGAGGTAGGGATTACCTTTGTTGCGAGTGTTTATGCATCGATTTCAATGAGCTCATATGGTTTTTAGATGCAAATCAAGTAACCACGCACTTCATTTTCATGTGGGCAGGCCAACGGAGCGGTAGCGTATGATGCAGAGGTGGCAGATGTTTGCGTACCTGTGACTTTGTCACGGTTATTCAAAAGTCAGGGGTAACTGATGTGACCACTTTCAAAAAGTCACC